TAAATAGTCAAAACCACGCAGTAAAATAATTCGTAGGTATTTTAAAATTCAAATTTAAGATCCAAATTCACAGTACATTCGCAAAGAGTTCAGGTCATATTAAATCAACATCAGAAAATTCATAGCGTTATGCGTAAATAGTCAAAACCACGCAGTAAAATAATTCGTAGGTATTTTAAAATTCAAATTTAAGATCCAAATTCACAGTACATTCGCAAAGAGTTCAGGTCATATTTTATGTGGGTAACGCATTCCGCAACAACATCGAAGAAGTCTAACTTTCACATATTTTCCCGAAAACTTAGCTTACATACTCAGCTCACTCCTATGCAATCGCAAAAAAATTTAGAAACATGACTCTTTAAGCACATGTCGACAATACTTGATAAAGAAACCTTTTCGCTACCTTGACGAGAAATGAACATGAAAGCTCTCACGATCATAAAATTAAACATCATGTTAGAAGTCATTCTATATTTAAAACCATGCAATTGAAAACATCTCCGAAATACTAAATATTCTCAATGTACGGGAATATTTTATAGGGTTTATGAACCAGGACTAAGACAATTTTCGGACGAACAATTACACAGTGATACAGCAAAAAAATGAAGGGGTTCTCAGTAGGAATATATTTTTAATTTCTCCCGATCACTTCGTTTAGTTCCTCTTTAAGAGCAAAAGATGTGAAAAAGAGCTATTTTTGAAGTTTTAACTTTAAAACAATATATGTTTGGTAGTTTGCAACCGATTTTCAAATTGGATATTTTGTTTTAAAGATACAAGTGTTGTCTTTCAACCCAAAAAATAAATCCAAAATTTATGATTAATGTCTTGGTAACGGCCATTTAAGTAAAAAAACTCACACTTTTCCAACAATTTTTAATTTTCATACTGCTCTACGTGGGCCATGAAGCAGTAACTTTAGCTTTTATTACATTTGAAAAAAGGCACATTAAGTTGGGTTTCCAATGATGGTCAATTTATGATAATCGATGAAAAAGGTTATGAGTTGTGCTCAGTTTTATAAAAATATAGCATATTTCTTCCATACAAAAATGTTCATGTTTCTGGTTTTCTTTGTAACAAGTTTAAAAAATGTTTATAAACATTTTTATGCAAAAATTAATTTGTATGGAGAAAACCAAAAATTCGAGGAACATGCTATTAGAAAAATTGGCATAAATCATCCAGTTTTTCATAGATTTTTATGAAATAACAAGTTTTAGAAACCTTCCTTTATGTGATTCTTCAGGAAAGTAATAAAAGATGAACTCACTGCCTCATGGCCAAAGTAGAGCATGATGAAAATGAAAATTTTTTAAAAAAGTATGAGTTTTTTACTTAAACGACCGTAACTCAGACATTTGACCATAAATTTTGGATTTCTTTTTTTTGATTAAAAGGCAACACTTGTATCATTAAAAAAAATATCGGATTTGAAAATCGGATGAAAAACTACTAAACTTATGATTTTTCAAATTTAAAACTTCAAAAATGGCTCTTTTTCGCATCTTTTGCTCTTAAAAGTAAGTTAACGAAGTGATAGGGAAAAACTAAAAATATATTCGTACTCTATGGACCATAACGAAATAGAATTGGTATATGAGAACGACTGCATTTTATTTTTCTTCACTTTTGTATCACAGTGTTATTTATAACAATAATATATCAAAATATGTATGGAGGTCCGTGAAATTAAATAAATTCCTCAAGGGGTCCGCGAAGTAAAAAAACGGTGGGAACCGCTGGACTAGACTATAGACTAGACTATAGACTAGACTATAGACTAGACTATAGACTAGACTATAGACTAGACTATAGACTAGACTATAGACTAGACTATAGACTAGACTATAGACTAGACTATAGACTAGACTATAGACTAGACTATAGACTAGACTATAGACTAGACTATAGACTAGACTATAGACTAGACTATAGACTAAGCTATAGACTAGACTATAGACTAGACTATAGACTAGACTATAGACTAGACTATAGACTAGACTATAGACTAGACTATAGACTAGACTATAGACTAGACTATAGACCTAGACTATAGACTAGACTATAGACTAGACTATAGACTAGACTATAGACTAGACTATAAACTAGACTATAGACTCGACTATAGACTAGACTATAGACTAGACTATAGACTAGACTATAGACTAGACTATAGACTAGACTATAGACTAGACTATAGACTAGACTATAGACTAACTATAACTAGACTATAGACTAGACTATAAACTAGACTATAGACTAGACTATAGACTAGACTATAGACTAGATTATAGACTAGACTATAGACTAGACTATAAACTAGACTATAGACTAGACTATAGACTAGACTATAGACTAGATTATAGACTAGACTATAGACTAGACTATAGACTCGACTATAGACTAGACTATAGACTAGACTATGGACTAGACTATAGACTAGACTATAGACTCGACTATAGACTAGACTATAGACTCGACTATAGACTAGACTATAGACTAGACTATAGACTAGACTATAGACTAGACTATAGACTAGACTATAGACTAGACTATAGACTAGACTATAGACTAGACTATAGACTAGACTATAGACTAGACTATAGACTAGACTATAGACTAGACTATAGACTAGACTATAGACTAGACTATAGACTAGACTATAGACTAGACTATAGACTAGACTATAGACTAGACTATAGACTAGACTATAGACTAGACTAGACTAGACTATAGACTAGACTATAGACTAGACTATAGACTAGACTATAGACTAGACTATAGACTAGACTATAGACTAGACTATAGACTAGACTATAGACTAGACTATAGACTAGACTATAGACTAGACTATAGACTAGACTATAGACTAGACTATAGACTAGACTATAGACTAGACTATAGACTAGACTATAGACTAGACTATAGACTAGACTATAGACTAGAACTATAGACTAGAACTATAGACTAGACTAGACTAGACTTAGACTAGATATAGACTAGACTATAGACTAGACTATAGACTGACTATAGACTAGACTATAGACTAGACTATAGACTAGACTATAGACTAGACTATAGACTAGACTATAGACTAGACTTAGACTAGACTATAGACTAGACTATAGACTAGACTATAGACTAGACTATAGACTAGACTATAGACTAGACTATAGAACTAGACTATAGACTAGACTATAGACTAGACTATAGACTAGACTAGAGACTAGACTATAGACTAGACTATAGACTAGACTATAGACTAGACTATAGACTAGACTATAGACTAGACTATAGACTAGACTATAGACTAGACTATAGACTAGACTATAGACTAGACTATAGACTAGACTATAGACTAGACTATAGACTAGACTATAGACTAGACTATAGACTAGACTATAGACTAGACTATAGACTAGACTATAGACTAGACTATAGACTAGACTATAGACTAGACTATAGACTAGACTATAGACTAGACTATAGACTCGACTATAGACTCGACTATAGACTCGACTATAGACTCGACTATAGACTCGACTATAGACTCGACTATAGACTAGACTATAGACTAGACTAGACTATAGACTAGACTAGACTATAGACTAGACTATAGACTAGACTATAGACTAGACTATAGACTAGACTATAGACTAGACTATAGACTAGACTATAGACTAGACTATAGACTATAGACTAGAGACTAGACTATAGACTAGACTATAGACTAGACTATAGACTAGACTATAGACTAGACTATAGACTAGACTATAGACTAGACTATAGACTAGACTATAGACTAGACTATAGACTAGACTATAGACTAGACTATAGACTAGACTATAGACTAGACTATAGACTAGACTATAGACTAGACTATAGACTAGACTATAGACTAGACTATAGACTAGACTATAGACTAGACTATAGACTAGACTATAGACTAGACTATAGACTAGACTATAGACTAGACTATAGACTAGACTATAGACTAGACAGACTAGACTATAGACTAGACTACAGACTAGACTATAGACTAGACTAGACTATAGACTAGACTAGACTATAGACTAGACTAGACTATAGACTAGACTATAGACTAGACTATAGACTAGACTATAGACTAGACTATAGACTAGACTATAGACTAGACTATAGACTAGACTATAGACTAGACTATAGACTAGACTATAGACTAGACTATAGACTAGACTATAGACTAGACTATAGACTAGACTATAGACTAGACTATAGACTAGACTATAGACTAGACTAGACTAGCTATAGACTAGACTATAGACTAGACTAAATAGACTTAGACTATGAACTAACTATAGACTAGACTATAGACTAGACTATAGACTAGACTATAGACTAGACTATAGACTAGACTATAGACTAGACTATAGACTAGACTATAGACTAGACTATAGACTAGACTATAGACTAGACTATAAGACTAAGACTAGAATAGACTAGACTATAGACTAGACTATAGACTAGAATATAGACTAGACTATAGACGAGACTATAGACTAGACTATAGACTAGACTATAGACGAAAGACTATAGACTAGACTATAGACAAGACTATAGACTAGACTAGGAGACTAGACTATAGTCTAGGCTATATAATAGATTAGACAATAGACTAGACTATAGACTGGACTATATACAAGACTATAGACTAAAGTCTAGACGCGACTATAGACTAGACTGAAGCCTAGACTATATTCTAAAATATAGACTAGACTATATCTAACACTATAGACTAGACTATACTTTAGACTAGATTATAGACTAGAAAAAGTTCTGAAATTGTCGTGCGGGCTCTGCGGTAATTTTACGATATTAAAATGTACTAAAGTGCTGAATTTCCCATGCCTGGCGCAGACATTTTTTTAAAGTAATTAACAGAGTTCGTGCTCCAAATTAACTGTGTTAACGTTTAATGTAACTTAACAGCTGTCATGTGAAAAATAACCAAATTTATGTTAAATTTGTAGTAATCTTTATTATTGTTTACATTTAACATCATTATTACAATATACTGCATGTGTTTTTTAGTTTTTTTTTTTTTAACAAACATAAAAATGAAAATTTCTTTTTAACATAAACGCGTTATGTTTATAAAAAAAATTTACTTTAATTAACTAAACTAAACTAAAAATTTCTTAGAAAATTATCAAATTTTTTCTTATCAGTCCAGACACGCACGTCGAAAGTTTTGTTTTTGTTTTCTTATTTTTTTTTTTGATTTTGTTCATGTCATTTGAAAACCATGCATGCGTGTTCTTTCTTCATCCGTATAATCGGACATGGAATTAAGACGTCCCTGATATTCAACTTCACCTTTTTTATATTTTAGATTATGTTCCTCGACGATTTTCTTACGCTGAGCCACGATGGCACGTCTACGCCGTTCCTCGCCTTCATCGCCGTACACTTTATTGTTTTTTTTTCTGCAAAATTATTGTTGTATTATATTTTAATAATTTTGTTCTTATTTTTTCAATTTAAAATGAAAATAAAACTGATCGAATGATCGTACCTTGTATTCTTCCCACTCTTCGTCCGTTATGGTTGCCATTTTTATTGTGACTGATCCGAAAAATTAAAATACAAAAAAAAAATTAACACAAGTACTTTAATGTTGGAGTAAATAAACAGATGTTTAACTAAAATTGTGGAGAGTGGCCAGATTGCTTGTGGAGATATTAATTCCTATTTTGGATAATTGAAATTCCAGTTATGTAAAGGTATGTTTTGAACATATTATATACTCCAGGTTTTTATTAGATTCTATGATAATCTAGCCATGTCCGTCCGGAAATTCGAAAATTTTCTATAAAAATTGATAATATCGAAAATTTTCTATTTAAAGAGAGAATTTAGAAAATTTTCTATTGAAATTGAGAATTTCAAAAAATTTCTATAGAAATAGAGAATTTAAAAAAATTTCTATAGAATTAGATAATTTCGAAAATTTTCTATAAAAATAGTGAATTTTGATTCGAAAATTGTCTATAAAAATAGAGAATTTTGATTCGAAAATTGTCTATAAAAATAGAGAATTTCGTTTCGAAAATTTTCTATAAAAATAGAGAATTTCGATTCGAAAATTGTCTATAAAATAGAGAATTTCGATTCGAAAATTGTCAATAAAAATGGAGAATTTCGATTAGAAAATTGTCTATAAAAAACGAGAATTTCGAAAATTTTCTATTGAAATAGAGAGTTTCGAAAATTTCTATAGAAATAGAGAATTTCGAAAATTTTCTATAGAAATAGAGAATTTTGAAATTTTTCTATAGAAATAGAGAATTTTGAAAATTTTCTATAGAAACAGAGAATTTCGAAGATTTTCTATGGAAATAGAGAAATTCGAAAATTTTCTATAGAAACAGAGAATTTCGAAAATTTTCTATAAGAAATAGAGAATTTCGAAAATTTTCTATAAAAATAGAGAATTTCGAAAATTTTCTATAAAATAGAGAATTTCGAAAATTTTCTATAAAAATAGAGAATTTCGAAAATTTTCTATAAAAATAGAGAATTTCGAAAATTTTCTATAAAAATAGAGAATTTCGAAATTTCTCTAGAAATAGAGAATTTCGAAAATTTTCTATAGAAATAGAGAATTTCGAAAATTTTCTATAGAAATAGAGAATTTCGAAAAGTCTTCTATAGAAATAGAGAATTTCGAAAAGTTTCTATAGAAATAGAGAATTTCGAAAATTTTCTCTAAAAAATAGAGCATTTCGAAAATTTTCTATAAAAAATAGAGAATTTCGAAAATTTTCTTATAAAAAATAGAGAATTTCGAAAATTTTCTATAAAAAATAGAGAATTTCGAAAAATTTTCTATAAAAAATAGAGAATTTCGAAAATTTTCTATAAAAAATAGAGAATTTCGAAAATTTTCTATAAATAAAACATAGAGAATTTCGAAAATTTTCTATAAAAAATAGAGAATTTCGAAAATTTTCTATAAAAAATAGAGAATTCGAAAATTTTCTATAACAAAATAGAGAATTTCGAAAATTTTCTATAAAAAATAGAGAATTTCGAAAATTTTCTATTAAAAATAGAGAATTTCGAAAATTTTTTTATAAAATAGAGAATTTCGAAATTGTTCTATAAAAATAAAGAATTTCGAAAATTTTCTAAAAAATAGAGAATTTCGAAAATGTTCTATAAAAATAGAGAATTTCGAAAATTTTTACTAAATTTTTAAAATTCCTCATTTTTGGTTTCTCTCCAATAAAATAACGGGGGTGGCAACTTTAACATGTGGATGGAAATATTTTCATGAGTGTTTGAAACCAAAAATAAACAAACTAGTTGATTAAACCATTGACTTAGTATTAGGGATGCCAAACGGGACTGGCTTTTACAAATCCCGGGATTCGGGATTTTGAAAAATTGCAATCCCGGGATCCCGGGATATTTCGGGATCCCGGGATTTTTCGGGATCCCGGGATTTTTTCGGTATTTCGGGATTTTACGGGATTTCGGGATTACATGAATTTAATTATTTTATATATGAAAATCTTTAAATCATCATATTTGTAAAGAAAATTGTTTAATTTTGTGGAAATTTAACAGACAGAAGATATATTTAAATTAAAACAATCCAATTAATTCCAATTTTTAAATAAAAACTTTCAGAATTGAATAATTTCTGAAACTTTTTAAATACATACTTACTTCCTAAATAAAAATAAATATCAAGTTCCGAAATTAGACATAAGCACTTTTTAAAAACCTCATACTGTTCCACGTGAACTAATAATTATAACAGATACCAATTCAATTATTCGAACATCAATTTAGAACCTATTCTTTGAAAAAATATTTGGAATTTTACTCAAAATACATATTAGTTTTGGAACATATTATTATATTCGTAGTATTAATTTAAAATTTTAGGTGCATTCAGAACAAGGTAATTTACCTTTACCGGTATCATTCAGATTTGTAGAAAGTTAGAAATGTAAAATCCTCTAGTATTGAAAATAAAGTTTGTATTCGACTGTGCCGAAATTAAATACCCACCATCAAAATATTGTAATGTATTGATATTAATATCAGCATCAATGTGATTTTCAGAGGAGGTCCAATTAGGTTTTTTTGTGTCAATTTTGTTCCAAATTTGCAGCCCAAATAGAATGAGTCTTCTAACTCGTGTTTTCAGCTTACAGACACAGAATGTGTATACTTTTTGGTCGGTCTACGACCAACATGCAATGTGCTAACAAGTAAAAAGTATAGTTGGGCGAAGCCTACCATACCCTACACCAGTTATAAAAATAAAATGTGATTTATTGTTCATAATAAAGCATCTAAGTTGAATTGTACCTTGCCTCAGATTAATTTATGCTATTTTTTGTTGAATAAAATTGTGTACATTTAAGTCATATTTCGAAGGGGCTTTGCATAGGGGCTAGGGTCAAATGAGGCCGCATCATCAAAAAATACATCAGGGTCATGAAGGCTAGTATAGAACTTGGTTTTGCAGCTTTTGTCGATGTACGAGTATATTGAACATAATTATGAACTTAAAAACCCTATTTGGGGGGTTCAGTTGTATGGGGGCTAGGTCAAATATTGGACCGATGTTATCCATTTTCAATAGGATCCGTCTCTAGTACAATAGAAGATCATGCAAAATTTCATTGAATTATCTTCAAAATTGCTGTAGTTTGATTACAAGGTTTACACGGACAGACGGACGGACATAGCTAAATCGACTCAGAAAATGATTCTGAGCCGATTGGTATACTTTAAGGTATAGGACCAATATTATTGTGTGTAACAAACATCAGCACAAACCCAATATACCCTCCCCCCACTAAAGTGGTGTAAGGTATAAAAACGAAGTGAATAAATAAATTTATATGTGCTATGTGTATGGACTCATACCACTTTAAAAAATAAAAGGTTCAAATATGTATAAAATTAGCTCTGCGGAATTTTGTTTTGCATGAGTCAAAAATAAAATAAGATCGTAATTTTCAAATTAATGAAAATTATGGCTCAAAAAAAGAAAATAAAAACAGTTTTTTGAAACAAATCCTAATCCCGAAAAAATCCCGGGATTTATTTTCCAAATCCCGGGATTCGGGATTTGCCAATCTTGAAAAATCCCGGGATTTTCGGGATCGGGATTTCGGGATTGGCATCCCTACTTAGTATGATGATTAAAATACCATTCGTGGTTGTATTTATTTTTAAATAAAAGAGAATAAAGAAAGATAAGGAATGATAATGAAAAAAACATGGATTGAAAGAAATACTGAGAGACGGAGAGAGAGAGAGAGAGAAAATATAAATTTATTGAGTGAAACAAATTTAAACAACAAAGTTGCCAGTTGTTAGAAATTTATGCGTAAAAGTAGAAACAAATATTTGAAAAATGTAACGGTTTTACAAAAGTATTCGACTTCTTTAAAAACAAACACTTTTGTTATATTTTTTTTATATATTTTTTTTATTAATTTTTCTCTTAGCATTTTTTGTTTATTTTTCACTATAATTTTCATTTAAACTTTTATTTTGCTATAATTTTTCAATAATACTTTTTTTCTTAATGTGTTGTTGTATTTTTCTTTTAATGACTAAATATGTTTTTTTTTTTCATTTGCTATAATTTTGTTTTTCTTTTTCAATAATAATTTATATATTTTTTTCTTTAATTAATGCCAATTATTGTATTGTTTTCAATAAATATATTTTTTTGTTTTTTTTCTTTTAACAAAATTAGTTTAGAAATAGTTTTTTTTTTTTTTTGGTATCTTGGTTTTTTGTAAATATTGTATAAGCATTGTATCAATTAATAATTATTGTTTTTTTTGTTGTTTCAATTTTTCTTTAAAGATTTTAAGCATTGCTTGGTTTTAGGGATATGTTTTCCTAATTTTGGTTTCTTTTATTTTCGAAAATTTTGCTAATAAAAAATAGTTGTTTTATTTTAGAAAAAACGAAATGAGTTTTGGTCGTAAAAGCATTAACTAAACTTTAAATAAACTTTTTAAAGTTATGAACATTTTTGAAATTATTTTAAAAATAGACGAAATACCAGAATATAGGCTAGACTGGTTTATAGACTAGTATACAGACTAGAATATAGACAAGACTGCAGACAAAACTATAGACTAGACTATAAACTAGACTAAAGATATGATTATGGACCAGACAATAGACTACACTATAGGCGAGACAATGGTATATAGTCTAGGCTAAGTGTATTCTACAATCTAGTCTATAGGCCAATCTATAGTGTAGTCTACATTCTAGTTTACATTCTAGTCTATAGACTATTGTCTAGTTTATATTCTAGTCTATTGTCAAGTTTATAGTCTTGTCTAAACCGTAGTCTATAGTATAGTATACAGTTTAGTTTATTCTAGTTTAGTGCCTAGTCTATAGTCGAGTTTATAGTTCATTCTATATAGTCTAA